TTGAGAGAAGGTCTGCTGAACTATTTGCAATAAGAATGTAGAGGAAAATAAGTTATTTCATTAGAAATGCTTGGTATGGAACACACAGTACTCAATATTAACTCTCAAAACTTCTTATACTGGAAAAGGTTTTTAAGTGACATTCCAAGTCCTGAAGTTCTTCAGGAAGAGATGGCCTGGATGAAGGAAAGACTGTCAAATTTAGGATCACCAGTGGTACTCTGTCACAATGACCTGTTGTGTAAGAATATTATTTACAACAAGAAACGAGGTAGGTGTTGAACGAAACAGCAAGTAGTTGAGTGGCTTTGTATATGCTGTAATCGGTATTTCCTACATCAGTGGTGTCATTTTACTTGTTCAGGGGAACTCAGTTTGAGCTTTTAAGACCCAGTGTAATGGGTAGTGATATTTGTGCAAATACTAATTTGCTTAACTAGATAACTCTCACCTGTATGTTACTGTACAGGGGAAGACTGTTGGTGTTCCTTGCATCTCTTCAATGAATTAATGTATTTGTTAATCCCTAGCCTGCCTGTATGACCAGGCTTTAAAGTATGTAATTGTTCATGTTAATTCTGTTCCAGTTGGATGAAGCTTTTAGGAAGGGAAAAAATCATGCAAATGTAGAAAATACAGGAGATAATGTCTTCAGGTTAATATGTGTATTGTTCTGGTTTGTGACTATGGGAAGACACTTTCATAATGCAATATCTTCGTGATACTACTGCATTCAGTGACTCAATTGATTTTCTGCATGAGGTACATAGGCATCTTAAAGATTTCTTTTGTAAATACATGCTTTATTAAGCAGTTGTAGGCAGTATGCATCTTAGCAAAGATGAATTACTTTTTTGGTTTTTATTACAATACATTCAACTCATAATTCATGTTATTAAAGAATGCCTTTAAAATGTGTAAAGTTTCTGTATAAACTCGTATTTTCTTTTACTTCGTTATTTTAATGGTTTGAGGTTCGGTTACTAAATTATTAAACAGCATACTAAACAACAAAGGCAAACTTGCAACACTAAAATGGCCATTGTGCAGTAAAAATGCACAACTTTCCTCCCATTTCAGATATCTGAGCTTAACTGAGTGCAGCAAGTTAATCGGATTAGATCAAGATTTTCTTTTGAAGTGAGAATGACATTCCTTCTAGTAGCTTCATATTTGTTTTGTGACAGTGTGAGAAGATTGTGGGTATGTAAGCCAAAAGTGTGTGAAATAAATGACTGAATGGAAGTGAAGTCTTCTCCATCAGTCATCGTTGGTCTTTGACCTCTTAAGCTTATGTACCTTAAGTGGTAAATAAAAACTAACAGAAACATGCTGGAGTTGGTTCTAATATGAAAACTAGCTGTGTATATATAACCAGTTTCTGCATCAGATATGCACTGAATGCATGTGAATTGAGAAAATGAAGTATTTTGGTGGTTCCCTCTGACTAATACCACTTTTGAAGGGATATTGCTAGTACTTCTAATTATGTAGGTATATATATATCTGTATATACCTGTACAATGCTATTACCATAAATTTTAAGTTCTAAGAATTCAGTACCAAACTTCAGTGGTTTTACTTAATTTCAATGATGGGTTATAGTTCTGCTTAAAAAGGTGGTGGTGGGGAACCCAACATGGAAGGTATGCAAAGAAAATGAGCTTGTGGTCTTAAACACATTGGGGTTGTGATATTGTAGTACTAAAGTAAATCTATTTACAAAAGTAAATCTATTTTTACTGCTTGGGTTTTGTCACTGCTGAAACTACCTTGAGTTTTAGCATTCCAGAACAGGCATATTGATGTAGAAGGAATTTTTATAGTCACTTTTCATAGTAGAACCATGCTGAAAAAGAAATAAAATTTGAGGAATTCCTTTAAAAGGTTTGTTGTCATGGTTAATAGGCTTGAAGTTCCTACTTTTAAAACAAATGCTATATGCTTTTCTTTTTGTAAACAGAATGGAGGAAAAAACAATGCCAGCAGTGCATCACATATGAGCAATCCTACAATAACGAGTGTGTGAGTGCTTGGCATTTGGGGGCAGGGTGGGGAGGAGGATGGTATGTAAAGTACTTTTTCTTCAAGCTAGCTGTAAACAGCTGGGGGAAAGAAGACTTGGAAATATGAATATGAAATAAATGTTTGTTAAACTAATCATTGAATGTGGCATGTGTACTGTGTTACAAAACTTCTGCAATCTGGGTACAGCAGGTACGGTTTTCATAGTAACCAAACCTCAATGCCATCTGTAGAAAGAATATTTGCCATTTGAAAGCTGTTTCTTACAGTGGTTTTTTTGCAGAACAAAAAATACCAATCTGTCTGTTAGTACAATCTTAAAGAAGATTCTTAAAGAATCTTTTAAAGTGGAAGCTCAGCTTTGACTGTATTGCTGGAATTCTGTTCAGCAGAGCAAAAGCTTTTATTGGTATACAAATAATTTTGCAAGAGCACAAAATAGAATCTTTTAAGATGTGCTTCATTAGGAACGGCATCAAACTGTATGAAGGTAGTTAACAGCTTTGGTGATGCTGTACTCTTACTAAATTTACTCTTCCTTCTAGAAAGTCTTCTGTGTATCAAAAAGACCTTGGTGACCCTGAACTGAAATGGAGAGAGAATTAGTCTTCCAGATTAACTACTTTTTTATTCTTTTCAGTAAAGTTTGCACAAAGTTGGTAGTGTTTATCTGGCTTTTCAGAAGCTGGCACTTTGACTCATTTACTGGTTTTAGCAACACTATTGATCGTGTTGTTTGTGAATGCTTAATTTGCACAGTTACTAGGCACAGTGTGTGTGTGTGTGTGTGTATGTGTTCAAGCTATGGACCATCAACTAGGACTCCTGTCCAATGCAGCTAGAATGATTATACCCAGTGCTTTGCTTTAGACTTGTCCTGTGCATTAAATTCATGTTAAGTTTTCAGACTTGAAAGAAAAATCATAGTTGTGACATGTACTGCTTTTAAGAAGAATCAGTCTCATGTCCTTAAATTCTATTTATGAGACTGGAATAGCATGTTGAGTGGAGTTTCACTCATCTGATTTGAATTTGTTCATGCTGTGGCTGAGAAAACCCTGCCTCTTGCTGTTTTGTTAATGTCCGTTTTCAGTCACTCAGGATATGAAAATTTGCAAGTGTTACTTTACATAACTTATAATTATCAGTGTCATCTAATCTTTGAAGGATGTAACTCAGAGCTTCATGTTGCTTTTAATTACAGTTTGGACATCAAGATAGTAAAAATAAGCTTTATGCTTGGTACTACTTATTTTTAGACCTTGTGTTCTAATGCTCTTAAAGTTTGGTGTGTGTTTTTTCCAATGTGACCTGGGAGTTTCAACAAATACCTGGTATTTTAAAAAGTATTCAAAATACTTGCTATTCAATAAGACCAAGTATCAGTATTCATTTGTCTGTATCTGTATGTGTTCTTTTTGAACGTATTGAAATCACCTGCCAGGAAGTTAAGTGTATAGGTAGATGGCTAGTTTTGTTCTGTTTATTCCCTCTGCCTACCCAATGTTTTCTATGATCTTTGGTAGGAGTCTGTGGGTGCTCAGTGCTTCTGAAGACTGAGGTATGTTTAAGGCTTCTGGTTTTGATCTAAAAACCTATTTTGTTTTGCCAAGCTATATTGGGTAAAGTTATTCTTTGGGTATATGACCCGTTTGTGAATTTTCAAGTCTGTTCATAGCATAGATCATTGTCTTTACTGAAGCTGTCTTCTAGGGCCTCAGTGGCTCGCCTGATGAGCAGCATGGGATGGAACTCAGGATACACCATTCTGCTGTGGTAACTACAGCTACAACTTGCACGTCAAAAGTGCTTACCTTATTAAACCATTAAAACTGAAGAACAGCTAGAAAGAGAGGTGTCATTGCCCTCCTACCTTTTAGTTCCCTGAGGAGGTCTAGCAGATGCTCTATTGACTACTACTTGATTTAGTAAAATTAATTTCTGGTCTATGGAACACAACACGTATTCAATTTTGTGTCTTTATGTGGCTTTTGTAGATTACATTGCATGTTGTCTACACTAGGAGACCCCTGGAAGAAACTAATGTGTTTGAACTTGAAATAGTCTATATTCTTGACACCTCTATTCCTGTTGATAACAGTAGCTTCTCCAGAGGGATGATAGAGCTTAGTTTTAAATCATGTCTTGCTTCAATAAAATACAGAAGTGCTTAGACTAGTGTCTCTTGTTGGTCTGCCTGCTCCCAGTGATACCAGTGCGATGTATAAATTCTTTGTACTTAGTAGAAACCTCAAAACAAAAGCTAGCTGCTTAACTACTAATGTAAGCCATATTTTTAGAAGTGGCTTTCCCATGTGAACCGCTGTAAATATTAAAAGTAACTTCTAATACTATGGATATTTTAAACTACTAATGTGAAGTTTCTTCTGCTTCTACAACACGGTAGCTGGGATATACATGTGTTATGCAAGAGGCAAACTTACAAGTTTTTGGTTGTTTTTAGTTTCACAGAAAGAACTGTCCAATTGTTTTTGAGCCTTCATGCAAAAATTAAATTTAAGGTTGAATTCCACAGTAGCATGAGTCTGAAAGAGATCAGTAAAAATGCAGGACTTCTTTACTTAGAACTTCTGTCTTAGCAAATGTGTGTTTGCCAAATTCTCTTAATCTGCTAGAGATTAGGTATGCTGCCTATGAATTGTTGCTGCCTTGTGGTGCCATGCACTGTACTACTTGTGCATGGACTGAAGGTTTATCACATCACTTGTTCATATGCATTTCCCCATAGGAGAGAGCCTAGTAACAGCCTCACCCATATTTAGTTAGATTAAGTTGCTTATTGTATGTAATACGATATCTGGAAGTAAGTTTTAAATATTAGCTGTGCTTAAAAATGCATAATAAGACATAGGTATGTTCAATATAAAATCTGCACATGAAAAAACTTAAAGTATTTCTTATGTTGATAATTTGCAAGCAGACTTTCACCTGTTGTGTTTATATTTTATGTGACAGAGGAAGAAAAAACCTCTAAATACAAGCAATATTAAATGTTTGGTGGGGGTTATTCAGGAGATCAGTTGTGTAGCAGAATATTAACCAGGGTTGGGCTGTGCATTTTGATGGGCTTGTAATTTACAGGTGTTTCTTTTTCACAAGTGGCACTAAAGAACCAGTGGGAAGCACAAGCATGTGAATCTGCCAGTCAAGCAGTGGCAGAAGTTAATTTGTGACGATATTGTAAGATCTAGGCTGCAGCTGCTGTAAAATTTCTTGTCCCTTCAGAGTTCTAGAGAACCTCAATTTTCCATTGCCAACAAGATTTTCCTGGGAGGAGCTTGCCACTTTGCAAGGCCACTTTCATGTTGGTTGGTTAGAGCCTAAAAGGTTTAACCTCGTAACCTTGGTAAGCGATCCTCTCTTTCTGTGAAAGTAAGGGTAAACTCTTGACTTGGAGGATTGTGACTAAGTGATTTCATTTGTGTTGTGGGGTTTAACTTCTGTTAAAAGTGCTTAGACTAGAAGATTTATCCATCTGGGAAATATTAATGTGTATTTTAAATATAGTAAAGGTGAGCTACATAGGAAGGAACACTTACAACAAAGTTGTTCTGTGATAACTTGGTCAGGACACTTATCTGGCAAAAACTATTGTATTTGATATGTGCAGTATCCATAAATCTTAAGGAGGCAGTATATTAAACACTGAAAATCCTTAGTCTGGTAAATACATAACATACTGTAATATTATTCTTGATTTACTTTTTTTGTCCTGGAGTTCTGATAGTTAGCATTAGTATCTGCAAGGTGTTTTAAGTCATTCTAAGATGATTGTTCATTGTAGTAAAAGGAAGATGTTTTTATTGAGTAAATATGCAGCTAGTCATCAAAAGAATGGGTATAGAGAGGGAGAAGGGTACAACTGTGAAAATAACCCATTTCAGCATAGCAGTGGGAAATGTAAGGTTTTACATTTTAATGCTCTAGTGCAAACAGCTCTTAAGTTAATCTGTTGCTTCTTTTTCTGATGTTTTTAGTAATTTTGCTGGTTTCCCTTAAAATGACAGAGCTCTAGTTTTACCTAATCCATCTTGTTGATGTTTTGACTGATGTGGTATAGACATTCTTCAGCAGCTTCAATGCTGTATTACCTTGAGTGAAGCATTTTCCCCAGCTTCACTACAGGTAAATGTGTGTAATTCGGAAACATTTGGGGCTGTGTTTTGTGCTCTATTAGTCCTTGTTTATATAATGCTACACAGTTTCATAATTTTGAGGGTTGTCTGACAGTTTTTTGAGACTAGTTTAAGCCAGCTAAAAAAAGCAACAATTAAGAATAGTCATGCTTTGTAAGTGTGGTTGGAGGAAGCAGGAAATACCAACATGTTAAAGGAAATACCAACATCTTCCAATATGTTAGTCCACTGTGTTTGCACACTTGTGTGAGAATAAACAGAACTGTTCTTTTTTGAGTCAGGGAAAAATTGATCTATTATTTCTACATCAAGCTTAAATAAAGGATCCTCTGCAGCATTCCTTATTTTGAAGGTAAGGGATGCCCTCATGTGGTAGAAGTTCAAAATTGAAATTCTGCTATTCAGAATTTAAAAATAGAAAATTGTAAGCTCTAAGTAATTGAAGAGCTTTCTTGAATGAATATTCAGTGGAATCTTATATCACAAAAATCACAGCCTTACCCTGGAATGTCTGAGTGCACACAACAGAGCAAAAGACAGGTGTGTGGTTTTGTTTTGGTTTCTCCCCCAAAACTTCAAAGGACACCAAAGACTTCATTTGGTATGGACTCTGATGTTGCTGCTGTTGTGTCTCACATAGGTGATGTGCAGTTCATAGACTATGAGTATTCTGGATACAACTACCTGGCTTATGACATTGGAAATCACTTCAATGAATTTGCAGGTAAAAATTGGATTTCTGAGGTAAAGGTATACTGGGTTTATAAAAAAAAAAACCAAAATACCACAAACCAACTAATTCTTGCACATTCTCTTTATCTATCTAGATACTTGTATATTGCTGTTCATCTGATGGTATCAAACTGTGTTGATGTCTCATCTTGCAGGCCCATTATGTCCTTACTTCGCAGCTCTACTAACCCAGAAATGAGAACATCATGTCCTAAGTTTTGGTAGAGTTAGATAAATACAGAACTCTCAACTTTCACAGTATCCCTCTGTGAAGAGACAGCCCATTGCAATGAAATACTGCGAATGTCTCTCTTACAGCATAGGTGTACATTGAAAATACGGGAATACGCTGTGTGGTTCCACAGTTCCAAATGGCAGTGTTTTTTCAGTGGCTTTGAATGTGTGTGCTCTGAGTACTTTCCCTTGAGTCATGTCCTAAAATGAGAAGTAAAGGCTAAGACTGTGTGATCAGAAAAGGTGGTATTTTAGAAATAAGGTATTGATAGATTCATTCATTGACTTGTTCAGATTTTTTTCAGTGAATACCCATTCCATTTACTCCATAAGGGAGGAATAACCTTGAGTCTATGCTGTGTTATTTCAGAAGACGGGGCAACAGGAAAAACCTGCATAATGTTTAGTACAGATGGAAAGCACAGTGTAGTGAAATTAGGAGCCTGAATCTACTAGTCATTGTTTAACAAACTGAATATTAAGTGTAGATAAATTTAAAAAAAAAAAAAAAATCAGACTGTATACTTGGTAACTTAATCTGTATACTTGGGGAATTTTAAGTATTTGGAAAGCAAGTTAAATACTTTACAAAATATGTTAGCTTTTGATTTTTCATCTGGGACTTCTCAGAGTCTGGCTACATCTTTAAGGAACTAAGTACAGTAACAAGACTAAACGCATGAATACATCTTTTTTTGCATGTGGAGAACATTTGTGCTTCACCTCCGCTATTCTCTCTTCATCTAGTAAAAAATGTAATTTTTTTTTAAAAGCTAAATTTGACTGGATCAGATACAGGAAAGAGTTAAGTTGCTAGGGAATTTTACCATTCATAAAATAAGACATATGGAGAATTCCCAAATCCTGTGGGAACGATAGCTAGTGGGAGTGAAATGTCATCTAGGTTTGGGACTCTGGGCAGACTCTGTGTGGCCTGTGACTAAGCATCTCCAGTATAGGAAGAAAAATAGGACAAAAAGAGTGGTTATGGAGTTAAAACTTCTAATTTTATCAATACCCCGTGGAGGAGAGAGGTAGATTTACTTCTAATAACGTTTTCCTCCAATATGAGCTTAGTTGGTGACAATGTGTATGCATCTGGAGTCAGCTTTGGATATTGTTGCATACAAGTCCATTTTCCTATGAAATGTGTAATGATATGTTGGGGAGGGCTTTTGTTTCATAATGCAAATATTTTTTTTTTGAGGCTTCTCTCAAAGCTGAACTTGTTGAATCTCAAAATACAAGTAGAATATGTATGTGGCTGAAAACATACACAGCATAGGTCTTTCTGCTATGTTGAATGCTGTGATTCATGTATGAGAAGTTCTTGCCAATGTGTAACTGATAAAGTCAGGTCACAGTAAAAACACTGATGTTCATCCACATCAATTTGTGCATGTATGTTGGGGGGGTTGGGTACTCCAGTAATGTGATTCTAATGGACTTTTTAGACACTGTAAGGTTCTAATAGGTTTTTTTCTTTTTCTAGGAGTAAATGAGGTAGACTACAGCCTTTATCCTAACAGAAAATTACAGGAACAATGGCTGAGATCTTACCTTGAGGCCTACAAAGAGTATAAAGGATTTGGCACAGAAGTCAGCGAAAAAGAAGTTGAAGTTCTATATGTCCAAGTCAATCAGTTTGCACTGGTAAATAACAAACAATTGATTAGAATACATTCAATGTTATGGAGAAGCCCTGCTACTTTACAGACAATTGCCAGCTTCTTTGAGTAGTGTGACATATAAAGAAAAACTGCTATAGCCTGTTCTATGGAAACTTTTTGCTATGTTGTGTGTTAAAAATTCTCTGTAGAATATTCCTCATGAAAGAGGCAGTGAGCATTCAGAAAACGAGGAGATGAGCTTTCAGCAAGTATTTCTAAGTGCTATTTATTGGTCTGGCAAGTTCCTGGGTTGGCTAGATATTGTGGTGGGTCAGTGTTGAACTTTTTCTTGTAATGATAAGAAGACAGAAGAGCAAGGTAGTGCTTCATAAAGACGTATAAATCTTTTGACTTCAAAAGCCTTTTTAACAAAGTTTTATCATCTTACTTCAGAGTGAAGCTAGTATACTTCGATTTTATTTTTCTTTAGAACATGTAATTAGGTCACTCGAGTCTTTCAGTACTACCTTAACTCTTTCCTTTCCTGCAGTGTCCTGGCAAGCAGGGAGTTGGTTGCAGATTTGGTTTTGGTCATCTTAGTGGTTTAAATTTTGTAGCAAAGTGCACGTGTAGTCTCCTGTAGTCCCCCAGAAGTTCTGCCTCTCTGTAGAACATGAGGGTTGGCTGTATGAGTCTGCTCCCTGCTCCTCCTTTATCTTGTGCATTATAAGCTGTCTACTGTCTGTCAGTCTGTCTTTTGCAGGCTTTGGATGTAAAAGCTTCATTCCCTTGTTCTTTCCCTTGGAAAGGGTGGAGCTTGTTCAGTTTTCATCTGGCTTTGGTGCCTTGTCCTTCGGGGTGGGGAGGGCAGGGGGTGAGGAGAAACCACATCAAGTCTAATTCATGGAGGTAGAATAAGAAGTCAAAAAGGTATGGCATTGAGTCTTTGAATGTCCCAATTATGTACACTGTTAGAAGCAGTTTGAAGATGTCTTTCTTGTTTTCCAACCTTTATCTCTGTGTGATTTCTGAAGATACTTTACAGGTTCACATTGTTTTTTTTGTTGCTTTTTCCATCTAGCCCTGATCTTGTTTTGCCTAGGGGATGCAACAGGAAATGTTACAGCAAAAGTGCCTTTTACCCAGTAGCTAGATAACTTTATTTTGCTTTCCCCTGAGGAATAACATGCCAAACTAGTCATAGGAGGACTAAGGCTAAGAAATCGGGACTTATTTCAGTCCTCTTTCTGACTAATCCAGGCACACCTCTGTTACTGTAATACCTTCAGTTTTCTGGCAAAAGCTAATGACTGCGGTGAGGTAATACAGTTCACTTTCTAGGAAAATTATTATTGAACAAGCCTTTAAAAATACCAGCTTATTTGCTGTTATCCTTTTAAAATCTGTATTATCAACTGTTACTGTTAAATTCAGCTGTCCCATTAATTTAGGAAAGTTAGATCTGCAATTAAGTAGGCTAGTGGTCTCCTTTAAAATATATAGCCTTGTTTTGTCAGTTTTAAACTGTGGTCATACTAATGTTTAAGAGGATAGAGTTCTGTTTAGAGAACAGCTCAAGACCTGCCTATAGACCACACATGATACAAAAATACTGCCAAACACTCTTGTGTCAGTTAATGTGGGAAGCTTCGTTAAGAGAAAAGACAAGCTAAAGCTAATGGATGCTGGTGTAAAATGCCAAACTGCTCACTATTGGGCAAAGTTATCTAAACTAGAGGTACAAGAAAGATTTACATGTACACACAGTAGTTGCCATTTTAAGGTGTTTTCAGGCATGTGTGTGTGCATGTGTCGTCTACACTTCTGGTAAAGTTGTTATGTACAAGCTTCAGGAAGTGATGTAGGTAGTCACTGTAAGCATTTATTTACTGAACAGAAGTTCGAAGTATATCACTTGTAACCTGGATGGTCCAGAAGTGTCTTCCACAAGGTGGCTATCAAGCCCATGGCCATTACATGTATTTGTTCATTTCAAGTATACTAATAATCATACTGTTATTGTAATCCATAGTTTCAGTCTCTGAAACAGAACCTCCAGAGTCCTTGTCTGGGCTTGTGGTAGAAGTAAGTTTGGAAGAGATGAGAAATATATGTAAATGCTGTTGAGTTAGAGGTTCTCTTATATAGCTACACATCGTATCTCTTTGTCCAAGTCAATAGTGAAAGTGAGTGGTAGTTATAATGGCCTAAGAGGTGTAACCAAAGATTCAAAGGGAGTTTCATATTTGTACTAGTTGAATAAATGTTGAATAATGTATATTTAATTAGCAGCAGCAGAAATGAGATAGTCATATTTCTCTGCGTTTTTTACCATGGTGTGTGTAGTTGTGCAACAGTCTACTTAATAGATGACCGATTTCATACATGCAACATTATTTTTCTTAATGACGCATGGAGAGTCAGGAGGCCAATGGATTTACTTCTCCGATTGCTAGTAATTAATTCTGTAATACTTGTTTACCAATCTCTTTGGTAAAGCAATATCAAATAACTTTACAAAATGATTGGCTTTTGAGAGTTCGCTTGTAGATAACTTTTTGTCTCAATGTGAGAATATATTTACATGTTGGATTTTATATAATGTTAATCTTTCACTAATTTTTTTCTTTCAGGCTTCCCACTTCTTTTGGGGATTGTGGGCTCTAATTCAAGCCAAATATTCCACCATTGACTTTGATTTTCTAGGGTAAGTGTGATTTCGGCATATAATCACAGAATACTTGAGGCTGGAAGGGGCCATCTAGTCCAACACCCCAGCTATCAGAAACTAGGAGGTCTGAGCAACAGAACTGATCTATGTGATCATACTATAACTCTTAATTTTTAACAGAAAACAAGACAGTAAAAGCTGTCTGTGCCTTTTGTTGCTGAAAGTTCTCTAAATTGGTATGTGACACATGGTGTAATAAGGCAATGAACATAACTAGAGGAATAAGTGATTTTGGGCATTGAGTGTTTTTTGTTGGAGACAAAGAAGCTTAAAAGCCAAGTTGGTCTGTGTGGTGTACTATCTGTCAGATGCAAGGCCTACACTTCCAAACTGCAAGAGTCAAGAAATGGGGCTCTTCTACAAAAGAGAGCTTGCTTACTTATGCATGGAGTGTTGATCGTGGAAATTCCTAATCTTCTTTAAAAGAGTCTTCATAATGCCAATGAACGTTAAGTTCTGTTTCCTGAGGCGCTGGCCAGTGGTGTTCTGTTTCAGGTAGATATATGTGACTCTGGCACTTGTTTAAATGGTCTTTCACAGCAACAAGCAGAGGAATTCATCTCTGCATTGGGGACTGGGTGAGGTGATAAAAATAATCATTTCACTTGGTGAAAGATCCCACTGTAGATTTTTTTGTGCTAAGCCAATTTACTAGGTTTAGTTGAATTATTTTGTAAATGAGACAAATACGGATTTCTTGTGATGTTGTTCTCAAGTAGAAGTACTTGTTAGTAACCGCTAGATGGCACAAAAAAACAAGTTAAAACACAGGTGGTAGAATCCCAAAACTTGTCAGCTTTTGAATAAACTCTCATTCTTGCAATGATCAAGACCGGATTTCTCTGGAATTGTAGTTGTCAGTTGTTGGACAGTCTATTAAGAACTATTAAACACAAAAACACCACCTTCGATAATCCTGGAACAGCATCTGTTTTGCAAACTGTAGCAGGCTGGGAGTGGGGGATGGCAGTGAGGAATTACCATATAATATGGTTCCTCTGTTCCTAATTTCTTCTTTTGGCAGCTGCTAAGGGTCCATGTTGGAAATGGGGTACTGGGGTAGGTGGATTTTCAACTAGTCCTACCTAGCATGGCTGTTTTCATGTAAGGAGTTACCTGCTCTTAACTTCAAGTGTCTCTCTCCTTTTGAATAGGTATGCAATTGTTCGGTTTAACCAGTATTTCAAAATGAAGCTGGAGGCCATGACTTTAGCTCTTCCTGAGTAAAGAGGAGGAAGAAACTTACCAAGTGGATAGACAACCCCTGAATCTTTTCTGAGAACAGATACTGGAAAAAAGCTAAACATTTGTTGAAGTTCTGTAATGCTCACTTGGTGGTTCTTGCTTTAAATAATGCCTCTAAACAGTCCTTCAGTGTTAAATTTAATACGGAAAGCATATGTACTGTTGATATAAAACGGATTAGAAACTTGATAAATCTATAAAAAGTTGTAGAAATGGCAATTTAATCCTTTGTAATTTAACATATGTTGTATGTGAATTATTTATTATAAGTTTAACATGATTCCATTGCTGCTTTCATCAGTTTTTGTAAAAGTTGGGTGCAGACAGTGAAGTTGTTCCAAAGGATTTGTTTAACAACTTGTTTTATTGAAATTGCATTAACTTATATTAAAGAGAACATGGTCGGAGAATATTAACCTTTTAGATGTATACAAGCAAAATGAGTGATAATAGACTTGTGAGATTACCAGTGTGCTGTAACTAGGGAAAAAGGTTAGGATGACCTTCTCCCCCCCCGTGCCCCCCCCCCGCCAAAGGTAGCTTTCCATAAGATGGTACTTTCCTTTTGTACAGGAATCAGCCAGCTTGCTGAAATGATAAATAACATTTTGATTTTTCCTTCTTGATGCATTAAGCTGTAGAAATGTGAAAGTTCTGTGGCCATCAGATTCTTTGAGGACGTGTATCATCATAGTGTTAGATAGACAATGTACCATCTAACTTGTGTGGGAAAGCTACTTGTTTAAGTGTACTTTTAAAGCAAAAGACCACTATTCGAAATCTATATTCCTTTTTGAAACTTGATTCTAAATCTGAAGACTATATTTGCTGTGCTTTGGCAGTATCTAGCAGAATGGACTATTGAGCTGAGGATTAGTGAACACAGATCCTGTTGCACTGGGGAGCAAGACATTTAGGTTTACAGTTCATGTATTGTTGACATCTTTCTGCTTTGTCATCTTCTAACCTTGGATTCTAGTCTTAAATGCTTGGTCCTGTAGTTGCATATTCTGGTATGTCTGCCTTTTTTTTTTTCTGTGGCAGCAAATTACTTTTCAAAGTCTCCAGTTTGAAGGATAATGTGGAAGAGTATATGACTTGATCAATGGGACTTTGATCATCACACGCATTTCCTTATTTCTTAAAGCTATTATACCAAGAATGGTCTGGATTATAAAATGTGAATTGAAAAGAAAATGTTTACTTAACAAAACAATGTGTAAGTTTGCATGGAAAAGAGGCTTTAAATCTGAAGAGGGGGTGGGGGGGAAACCCACAACAGAAAAATAAAACCCAACAATGCCGTGTGGAGTTGGGCAGGCCTGTACTCAACTCTGATTATACTCTGAAAAACTTTGCACTTTGGTCACATAAGTGCCCACATGTACAAAGTCTGTGTGTGTGCATATACACATGCAAACACAAACTTACCTGAAGAGTAAATATTATGGGGAGTCTGTTGTACAGACTTCAGCAAAGATATTTATTCAAAATTGCTTTATGGCACACTGCTCTGTGTGTGTATATGTGCATGTCCATACACACGCATACATACATATGCGCTTTACAAAAGCTTCAACTGATTCAGGACAAAGAAAACTGATGTGAATGAAAAATTTTCACCTTGAAAGACCATTTTGAATGGCATTCTGTTATTTTACAAAAGCAAGGTTTGGGTTTTTTTTTTTTCCCCTGTAACTTGTTTATATTCATCTCTGAATGTTTGCAATTTTTTTATTTCCTTCAAAAGTTGAAACCTTAATCCTAATACAAACGGGAGAACTGGGATTTTTTTGTAACTTGAAATGAGGTAACCATTTTTGTTAGCATTTGTTAGCTGGAGGCTACTATACTGGACAAATTTTCTTGGTAGTTAAATAGAAGCAGAGCGCTAAACCAGACATTTATATTTTCCTTTGTAGCGGTTATCAGGGATGTTGCTAGAGCTCATGAAAGCACTGAAGACTTTAATTTTCTGTACTTTCTCCCTGTTGACATTATGGACATACGCTGAATAATAACCCTGCTGTCTTGGTAGTCCCTTTAAGATCTGCTTGGAAGTAAGATTGATTTAAGATTTTTGAAGTCTTACTACTATTTTCTTCAAGTGGTGGCTTTATTTCTGGCAGTGTTGCTTTCTATTTGTGAAATATTTGAAAAAGGCTGTGAAAGTCACTTGATCTTGGGAAATCCAACACTTGACAGATCCTAAGTTCCCAACAGTTGGCAAAACACATTCCCTTTTCAGGTACCAATACTGTTTAAGTTTAGAGTTAGTGTAATTTTTTTCAGTTGTATAGCTCAAGTAGCAATAACTGTAGGAGTGGAAGCTTGCTTCTGCAGAACCAAAGCTCTTCATGAGTGCAGCTCAATCTCGTTTTTGTGGAGTGAAGTTCCACTGAATCCCATAAAAGCACTTTGAAGCAGATAGTAAATACTGCAAGCTTTTCCTGAGCCACTTCGAAGAAGCACAAGGATTATCACAGGTTACAGTGGTTGACTTTGCAGTACTGGTAGAGGCTTTTATTTTGCATGTTGACATTCATTTTACACACTTAAATGCTGCTTTGCGTCAGCTCTCTTTCAAGACCAAGTGCAGATTAAAACAATTCCTGTTAAGTTTAGAGGAAGTACTGTAAAACATTTTCCAAAACGAAATGCTAGTTACCTTGAGCCTTGTTCCGCATCCGTTTGAGCCAGTAGCACTTGGATATTCTCACTTGCTAAGGAATATCTACAGATGTGTGTTAAGTTTGAAGCAGTAGTTTGCAATAGCATTGCAGATTATATGGTAGCTTGAAACTGTGAATACAGGACATTCTGAATGTAAGTTAGGTACTAGAGAACATGTACTTGTTTCAATTGATTTATCTCAGTCTCTTTAATAGCAACGTTAAGATACTGAAGGATGACAAAAAATGACTGAGCTCTAGAAACATCCTGTAGTAGTTTTGACTGTGACTTGCCAAGAAGATACTCTGTTGCCTTTATGTTAAGCTAAGGGCATGAATGCCACAATTAATGATTCTTGCTCTAGTTAAAGCTGTATTGTAAATATAAAGAGGATTATTAGTAACGGCATTCTTGCATAAATAGCATCAAGTCAATAGACCATAGTGGCCTGGTTGCTTTTGTAAAGCAGAATAGTGTGAATTTTTTTCTTCTCATTTCTGCAGTCAGATTTGGCTAATGCATGCCTAATTTCTTAGATCACCAGAGCGTTAAAGATTTCTGAATGATAACTAGTCTCTCGTCATATGACTTTAAATTCCTTATTTACACTTCTTGGCTTGCATTTTAAAAGGACTTCACAAATGTGCATTAACCAGGTCTGACTGTATATGTATATACAACAGTGTAAATAACCATTTGTAAATTAGTGTGAATTGTACTGTATCTTGCATTTATGGACTTGTGTATTGCATTGTATTCTCTCCTATTTTGTAGAAATTTTGATGTAAAGAAATCTAACTCTGTGTGCAGACTACTTTTGTTAAAATTGACCTGTAACAGAGCATAATAGTTTTATGTTAAGGTAGCCATTTATAGCCTTGGGCATCCAGTGTCTTTTTTTTTCCTGTTAGCTTTTTTGACATCTTGCTCTTCGGAATGATTCTGGGAATAAAGGAATTTATACAGTACTAAGACAAAGTCTGTTCTAATAATAGGGCGAGCTATGTGTCAGAGGTACCTGTAGTACCTGTGGTATAGGGAAAGCTATTAAAATTGTTGGAGGTACCTGTGGTATAGGGAAAGCTATTAAAATTGTTTACTTAAACTTCCAAAAATTTCCTATACCTTCTTGAATGCTGGTGACTTCTAAACATAAGCATGTTGAACCGAAGTACTCTTCAAAGCATGTGCTCCCATGGTGACAACAGTTGAGTTAGTTGTGATAGAAGTCCCTCAACTTAAATGTTTTTGGTGGATATAACCTTATAATAGGATTAGTTGCCAACTTATAAATGCTTACAATAAATGCCCAAATCACTATAATAGTTCTGCCAGTCATTTTCCTCAACACTAGAACTATTGGTAGCCCCTTTAGACTACTTGAAACTTACCTGAGGTATTTTCCCTGTGTGCCATTCCCTCCCTCTCCTCCCTGTGCCCACAGCCCTACTGCATTAGGGGAAACAGGAATATAAAAGCTTCCTTTTCATACTTAAGCATCACTGTTTCCTTTTTGACTAAACAGTGTCCTATTTTGTCAGTACATGCATTCTTGTCAGAATTTTTTTGTGCAGGAAGTCTCTTTCTGAAGAGGCCTTTAACCTTGAAAGCATAGACGTGATGAAGCATCATTTTCCCCAAATGCCTGACTGTATTTCATTACTGTTGCCTTTCACCCTCTGTTTTGAACTGCATAGTGTCCTTCAAGCTGTTACTGTATTCTTGTCACTGCTGTGTTTAATAACTCTTCTGGAAAATACTGGTGTGCAAATCTCATTGTCAATCTTACAAATTGATCTTGATACAGTTTGTACATCCTGTCAGCTCTCCTTGCACGGGATGAAAGGTAGGCGTGCTTATCCGTGCTGACACTTTGTTACTAGGGTCCTGGGAAGTGAGCTTATCAAAGTAGTGTTGGTCGAGAGGAGGGATGGACGCAGTAAATGTGAGTAAAAGGAAATCATTCACATGGAAACTTAAGCTTATGATGTAGTAAGGTGTCGGATGTGCTTATTTACTTTCGTGGTTTAAGGACAAGAGCAAATTGTAAAGGGTAAAGTTTGTTTCAAAATTGAGTTCAGATTTTTTTTAAAGCCTTTGGTAGCTAACAAAAGCTTACAAAATACTCTTTTGTTACTTCTACTGAAAGAAATCTTAAATTTGAGTAACTTTGTGATGAAACAAAACTTTGTTCTGTAACCCAGTGGAATATGATCTCTTGCTTGGGGTAGTCCTTCCTGTAGTTTGCAGAGGAGGTTGACCACATCTTGCCTCTGCATTTGAGGCGGCTGTGTATTCTTCATTTGTTTCAATGTTTTTTTTGTATCGTTTAGAGTTCTTGGATGCCTTCTGAGGTGTGCTAGATTACTAAACTATTAGAACTTGCTGCTGTCTCCTATCATCTTTTCCACAGCAGGCAGGCTGTAATTCTAGTAGTGGAACAGAAAGCATTTGATCAAACCCTGAGGTAGTGCAAGGCTGACGCTGAGCAGTCTTGTCGCTGATTCCCTCCTCTCCTTATTACTGTTGGCTGCAAGCTGATTGTTTTCATTAGTTGTGAAAAGTGTGAAAAGCCATGACTTTTGGTCTTGTGCAAGGTAGGTGTTGTGTTAGCCAACTGCACCACTTTTAAGAAAGGGGCTCTCGGCAGTGAGAAACCACACACATGCAGATGGGACTTGTTGGAAGAAACCGAACTTTGTGGCTCACGGACCTCTGGAGTGGAAAGGACAATGTGTGAAATGTTTGCACGTGCTGGC